CCTCAAGATGAGGGTTGTGATGTTCTTTTTACAGCTTGGAACCCGAGCGAAAAAATTCCCAAGAATGCTATCTCAAAAGGTTCCAGCCTTTAACGTAATTGTGGACTTTTGTGATTAACTATCCCTGATTTGTAATAAAATACAATTTTCAATTTGTAACGATTATGGTTAATAGTGTTACTATTGTGGCTATAAGGTAGCATTATTTCTCTTACATTATCGTGCGCCGAATCCTCGTGAACACTGGTGTGCAGTGTTTGGGGTTTAACGAATATAATAATCTTATTGTTTGGTAGGGTGATTACCTATTACGGTGTCTATGTTTATTACTTGTTGCACTGGCTACACTCAACCATGGCATGAATCTGTAATGGCAGTTTTCATATAAATTATAATACCAAGTCGAAAGGATCCCTTATAATCAATGAGGAACACTATACATATCGGCATGTCAAATGTTATTTCGACCACAACGATTTATTTTTAATGGTTCGTTAATAACAGAAAATAGTATCCTTAAAGATGATAAAGGAATTTCGTATACCCGAAAAACGTTTCTTTATACGTTTACCTTATTGACCGATACCATGGTCAATGTACAACTTATTCAATAAAACTACTAATCAATTTAATATCAGTATCAGTAATTCAATAGTATCTGACAAAAATACACCATTTTATGTGTTGACTGATTAATATCGGTAGTTTTATTCATTAACATGAATCAATAAGCTATACACGATTGAATAAGCGAAAGACGTTTGTCAATCAATTGTCTACTTTTTTTGTTTGTTAGTTCTGTTTATTGATAGGTGATAAAGAATATCGTTATTTCGTTTACAACGTACTTACTACTCATGTTATAGTTAGCCTACTAGTCTTTGTTACTCATTCTTCTTACATATAGAGGGAACTGCAATTTAGTCGCAGCCTAGCTATCGTTTTTAGAATTAGTAATGGTAATTAACTTACCCATCAATCACATTTAATTTAAATCTAAAATATTATGGAATCTTGTTACTAGCATTATAAATATACCAGAAAAGATTTTATTTATATCTCATGGGCAATCACGATGAATTGAACTACCGGACCAATCGAAATGAAATTTTCACGAATAGAGCCAATATAACACGGATGAACATCTATTTATTTATTTTTATTTTTTATTTTTTTTAACATTTCGAGGGTCCCCCCTTTTGGTTTTCATTTTATTCCCAAAGTTGCCACATTGTTCTTATGCGTACATTTATACATTAGCATAATTACCAGATTAGTAAACCACCTTTTTGAACAGGTTTTGTTTGCGTATTATTTACAATAGCAGGGACCGAGCTTTACTTGGGGAAAATCATTAGTTAGCTTTGACATCAGTCTTTGGCCAATGTCATTTATCCAAATCTTCTTTTGCAGTCTACTTCTAATCTGTTAAAATAGTAGTATCGTACGTAGTTGACATTGCTTATGTAAGAAGCAGATTTCATTCTTTTGTACTGTATACATTTTGTTGTTATGTTAGTAAAAAGCACACCTTTTAATCTAAACACTAAACAATATCAAAACAATCACATAACAATATACACGTTTGATAAGCATAGGCTAATAATGTTTAATAGACCATGAGACCCTTTTGGATCTTGTTCTTTTAACAACGTTAAAGCCCTTTTCTCGTTGTAAAGGATTAGTGTGTAAACATTGAATTAAGAAGGTTAACATTGAATCGTCAAAATGCAAAACCTTAGTATCTCGAATGTTTACCCTTCTGCTTTCAGTTTTAAGATTTCGAGCTAAATATTATTATACTGGATTCCAAACAGCCAACTCTGAGCTTTTGGTGCAGTGGTTAGTATTTTCTTTTACAAATTTGGTTTGAATTTGAGTCATTTCCAATATTATTTGGTTAGAATCAATTTAGTTTATTTAATTTTGGTTTGATTTATTTCCACAGCAAATCTATTTAGGTAGCCAATCTATAACATTAAATAGGTCTAAGCCTATATTTTCATCGTAAGCTTAAATTAAGGTTGACAACGTTTCTCTTTGGTCTCAACATATTTTATCTAAACGTGAAAAGGTACACTCAAAATAAGTGACAATGGAAATTGGAATGAAAAATGGAATTCCATCAGTGTTTTTAGTTTTGCTTAGAAAACTGTGTAATAGTAGTAGATTGAGTAAATTGACTGACCTTGGCGTTGATGGCCTGAGCCCCGAGATCCGGACTCTTGGTGCTGCCGTGACTGCGGATGCTGCCTGTGGAAGACAGCTGCTGGTCTCCAGAGGCACAACTAGTAGCTTCCTCCACAGACTCTGCTCGCGCCGTCCGCAACTTGCGGAGGATCCTCGACGGGTTGTTGGCTGTGCGGTTGGCATTTGCGATGGATATCGATCCTCCAGAGACTGAAATACATAATACTTCGTCGTTCTTAAATGGGATACACTGAAATTAGTGACGGCTAAAACTGGTGGCGTATACTTTTCATTTATCTATATTCCTGGAAAATTATATTACATTTGTATTATATTATGTAATGCATTCATTCCGATTCAATACTGACAGGTTTTCAGACCAAATAAAGAACACAGACTTATTGAAGGTAAGGCTTTAATTGCTGACAGCGTTACCATTAGACAAGCCATAATGTAAGTTAAGTCTACAATTACTAAGCATAAACTTTATGGTGGGAAGTAAACTGGTTTTAATAGTCAGCTTTGAGTAGCTTACCATTAAGTTGGAGCTGAATGGTACTATTGCAAAACTATGTTCCTTATACTCTCCACACGTATAAATACCTTATAATAAAAATAAAAAAGTATTACATAAGTTTTAAATCAGTGAAAAAACTACGCAGCACTACTATACTCCTTATAGTGTATTAGGCTTACGGTTTATTTGACAAAACCAACGAAAAAATAACATCCTACAAGATTCATGTCTTCAGACTACGCTAATGCTGGTGATTTCTAGAGTTCAATTTCTCTACTTACCTATGCTAGAGGTGAAGGGCTCCTTTTTGTCGCCCAACCCTTGCCAGCAATCCTGCAGCATGTGATGTTGCAGCCTCGCTAGGAGGTGAGGTGAACACAAGTCAGCAGGCGTCATTCCAGCCTTGTTGGCCACCGCTATCCTGGCTCCATGCTCCAGCAGATCCAGAACACACTCCCACGGGACGTTCTCCTGACACACAGCCAGGTGTAGAGCCGTGTTACCCAGACGGTCCTGTAACCATATGTACATAGTTACGTTAGTAGTGACCAGTGCCATTCAGCAGGCGTCACTCCAGCTTTGATTGCCACCGCTCTCCTGGCTCCATGCTCCAGCAGGTCCAGAACACACTCCCACGGGACGTTCTCCTGACACACAGCCAGGTGTAGAGCTGTGTTACCCAGACGGTCCTGTAACCATATGTACATAGTTACGTTAGTGGTGACCAGTGCCATTCAGCAGGCGTCACTCCAGCTTTGATGGCCACCGCTATCCTGGCTCCATGCTCCAGCAGATCCAGAACACACTCCCACGGGACGTTCTCCTGACACACAGCCAGGTGTAGTCATTTGTTACCCAGATGGTTCTGTAACCATATGTACATAGTTACGTTAGTGGTGACCAGTGCCATTCAGCAGGCGTCACTCCAGCTTTGATGGCCACCGCTATCCTGGCTCCATGCTCCAGCAGATCCAGAACACACTCCCACGGGACGTTCTCCTGACACACAGCCAGGTGTAGAGCCGTGTTACCCAGACGGTCCTGTAACCATATGTACATAGTTACGTTAGTGGTGACCAATGCCATTCAGCAGGCGTCACTCCAGCTTTGATGGCCACCGCTATCCTAGCTCCATGCTCCAGCAGATCCAGAACACACTCCCACGGGACGTTCTCCTGACACACAGCCAGGTGTAGTCATTTGTTACCCAGATGGTTCTGTAACCATATGTACATAGTTACGTTAGTGGTGACCAGTGCCATTCAGCAGGCGTCACTCCAGCTTTGATGGCCACCGCTATCCTGGCTCCATGCTCCAGCAGATCCAGATCACACTCCCACTGGACGTTCTCCTGACACACAGCCAGGTGTAAAGCCGTGTTACCCAGACGGTCCTGTAACCATATGTACATAGTTACGTTAGTGGTGACCAGTGCCATTCAGCAGGCGTCACTCCAGCTTTGATGGCCACCGCTATCCTGGCTCCATGCTCCAGCAGATCCAGAACACACTCCCACGGGACGTTCTCCTGACACACAGCCAGGTGTAGTCATTTGTTACCCAGATGGTTCTGTAACCATATGTACATAGTTACGTTAGTGGTGACCAGTGCCATTCAGCAGGCGTCACTCCAGCTTTGATGGCCACCGCTATCCTGGCTCCATGCTCCAGCAGATCCAGAACACACTCCCACGGGACGTTCTCCTGACACACAGCCAGGTGTAGAGCCGTGTTACCCAGACGGTCCTGTAACCATATGTACATAGTTACGTTAGTGGTGACCAATGCCATTCAGCAGGCGTCACTCCAGGTTTGATGGCCACCGCTATCCTAGCTCTTTGCTCCAGCAGATCCAGATCACACTCCCACGGGACGTTCTCCTGACACACAGCCAGGTGTAGAGTCGTGTTACCCAGACGGTTCTGTAACCATATGTACATAGTTACGTTAGTGGTGGCCAGTGCCATTCAGCAGGCGTCACTCCAGCTTTGATGGCCACCGCTATCCTGGCTCCATGCTCCAGCAGGTCCAGAACACACTCCCACGGGACGTTCTCCTGACACACAGCCAGGTGTAGAGTCGTGTTACCCAGACGGTCCTGTAACCATATGTACATAGTTACGTTAGTGGTGGCCAGTGCCATTCAGCAGGCGTCACTCCAGCTTTGATGGCCACCGCTATCCTAGCTCTTTGCTCCAGCAGATCCAGATCACACTCCCACGGGACGTTCTCCTGACACACAGCCAGGTGTAGAGTCGTGTTACCCAGACGGTCCTGTAACCATATGTACATAGTTACGTTAGTGGTGGCCAGTGCCATTCAGCAGGCGTCACTCCAGCTTTGATGGCCACCGCTATCCTAGCTCCATGCTCCAGCAGATCCAGAACACACTCCCACGGGACGTTCTCCTGACACACAGCCAGGTATAGTCATTTGTTACCCAGACGGTTCTGTAACCATATGTACATAGTTACGTTAGCGGTGACCAATACCATTCAGCAGACGTCTCTCCAGCCTTGTTAGCCACCGCTATCCTAGCTCCATGCTCCAGCAGATCCAGATCACACTCCCACGGGACGTTCTCCTGACACACAGCCAGGTGTAGAGCCGTGTTACCCAGACGGTCCTGTAACCATATGTACATAGTTACGTTAGTGGTGGCCAATACCATTCAGCAGACGTCTCTCCAGCCTTAATGTCTCATGCCTTAATAATGTCATGTGTATACAGTTTTACGCCTGCTGAAATGTACATAGCTACGTTAGAGGTGACCAATACCATTCAGCAGGCGTCACTCCAGCCTTGTTGGCCACCGCTATCCTGGCTCCATGCTCCAGCAGATCCAGAACACACTCCCACGGGACGTTCTCCTGACACACAGCCAGGTGTAGACATTTGTTACCCAGACGGTTCTGTAACCATATGTACATAGTTACGTTAGTGGTGACCAATACCATTCAGCAGACGTCTCTCCAGCCTTAATGTCTCATGCCTTAATAATGTCATGTGTATACAGTTTTACTCATGAAATCCGGTTATAATTGCTTACAAACTGAGTATGACGTTTTTAGCTGTTAAGATATTCGTCCGAAACTTGAATTACTAATTTAAATTAATCATCCTACTTTACAAAATTGAGATCAATTAAGTATTTTGGAAGTGGGGGGTTCTTAGTTTTAGGTTTTTGCGAGATTTATTGCAACAGTTCATAAAATTTAGTATAGTTAAATAATATATAAATAGCCTATTACCAGTCAATTAAGCCCAAAAACCTATTTAAAATATACTATGTTTAAAATCTATTTCAAACACAAGCTAAAGTAAAAATAATTATATATATCTAAACCAAATCTCAAAAAGTAATTTACCCAAATTAAATTTTATATAATATTAATTGGCCTGAGTGACTAAAATGTGAACAGTGAACATCAAGATATAGAAGACCTGAATACATTGTTGCTGAAAAACATGTGTTAGGTAACAACTGGATTGTTTCTTCTATCATGAACTAGCCTGATGAAAGTGTAAAAACTAGTTTGTATGATTTTTATATTATAATATTTTCTAGTAAAAAGTGAAAAGCTAAACCAATAGTCTAATTATTTCAAATAGTTTAAACAAGAAGAAATGTGGAAACTTGGAAGAAATTTGGTAATCTCCATCTTATTATTACAGACAATTCTATTTAAGTGTTGGACAATTTGAGAACATTAGCCTAATTCTGAGGTGGATCGAGTAGCCTCCTAGCTGTTAAAATCTATATTCTTGATTCAAGTAAAGACTTTTGTTTTAGAACAATCTTATCCAAATTCTATATAAAATTATTTAGTAAAAAAAGAAATCAAAGGCTAACTTTATTATCATAAAAAAAAGTTTCAAATTAAAATAGGCTATTAGCAAGGAAATTGGTAATAAAAGAGAGTTCCAAGCACGAACCTAAAAACCCTGAGGTTGCAATTGGCGCCGCAACAAGTGGGGCTCTCTTATTGACCAAACCTTGCTAATAATACAAGTAGGCCTAGCTTATGTGTTTGAAATAGCAATTTTTAGGTTAAACTAAGAATAGCCTATAAGAGTGTTGTACTATTATAAAGGTACCTAAGTTAAGATTCCCCACCTGTTTCCCCTTTCATAATTAGCCTATCAGTCACCTGTTAGTTAAAGATATTCAAGATGACGAGTCAATACAATTTACGCCCAAACCCTAAACCCTCTAGGAAACTAGTCGAAAATAGCGGGGATAGTGACGATAATAATCAAGAAGACAACAACATTGAAATTCACACAAACACTAACACCAGCGATATTAGTGAAGATGAATCATGCACTCTAACAGCGAAAAGCCCTGAAACATCATCACAACAAACACACTTAGAGGACAAATCCTTGGACGAGCGATCATTCCACGATTCCGAGTCATCAGAAATTGTAGCCCTAACCTCAAAGCAAACAAATTTTACTGACCAAGCCAACGTCCCGGTGAACGATGAACAAGGAATGATAGGAATGAATATGACAGCTGATAGGTCTACGTTCCTTACGACGGCAACAGAAACACAACAGCCAATCACAACACAGTTTCATGACGATCAATCACAGCGAGCTTCTCAACATGCTACAGCAAGCACCGTCACTCAACTACCCGACCCGAAACCCGACTTTATGACCCAAATTCAAACGCTATTCCAATCTTTGGATAATAAAATGATATCGTTGGAAACCAGCATTAAAGATGAAATAAAGACCCACTATAAAATCCTTGACACTAAAATTGAATCAATCACTGAATCACAAAATAAACTACAATTGGAATTAAACTATGTGAAGGAAAATCAACAAAAACAATCAGAGGAAATGAAATCAATTGAATCTAAATTAGCTACCCAAATTGCTGAAAGCTCCTATAATCTAAAAATGGACCTGAAAGCAGATCTAAATGCCCATAAAACTGAAGTAAATAGCTTAGTCCATACCCAAAATAAAATTATTAGGGAAGAGATGAGCCAGACTATGAATACTAATTTAAATAATATTCAAAGTCAAATTCAGGAAACATATGAAACACAACATAAACAACTCAGACACACAGTAAGTGAAAATACTCAACGGATTCAAGAACAACTAGAACCACATATTAAAGCAAATCAAGACAGAGTTGAACAAAACATTGAATTAATAGAAAATATGAAAATAACACTAAGTGAACATCATAACAAGATTGAATCTCTACAAAACGAAGCCACTGTTAAACAGAGTACATTCACCCCTAACATTTATGTATCTTGTGGTAGCGGAACTAACGTTGACTCAAATAACGTACCTAAATTCACTGGACAAGCACACAACCCCAAAGAGTTCTTAAACAAACTACAAAAATATTACTGTCGCAATTTGGTTCGCCAGAGTCCCACAACCGACCCTAAAGAATTCTTAATTGATACGATAGAGATGAGTTTAGAAGGGTGCGCTTCACGATGGTTTTATCTTATCAAAAGTAATATTAATACATGGGATGAGTTTGAGAGCATGTTTCTCATGAAATTTTGGAGCCAATCAGTACAGCGTGGAATTCGACATAGATTGGAAACCGAGAGGTACCGTCCTGGAGGAAAACTGACCCGCTCAGAATACTTTATAGAGAGAGTCATAACGTTGAAATCAATGTCCCCACCTTTGACTGATGAAGAAATTATTACATTGCTAAGCGATCACTTCAGTGAACTAATTCAAGATGCTCGCATAGTACAGAATGCCAACACAATATTTGCATTTGAATCGATCCTCCAGCGTGAAGATATAAAAGACGGAAATCGCCGGAACAAACAAAACCATCCCCCATCACACAATACACCAGCGACAAACCGAAATGAACCAAGGCCCAACTATAACACACAACCACAAAACAGATATCCTGACCACACTAATAACATCAACCAAAATGCATACCAACCAAGATATGACATGAATTATCAACAAAACAATCGACCATATAACCACAACCAACAATACAACAACCGGCCAAACCAACAAAACTGGTTCCCTTACCCACAAGGCAGATTTCCACAAAATTCAAATAATTATCCCACTACGAACGGAAACCGAACTGAACCCAATTATATGACCCCAGAACAACGACAGGTCTGTACCACCATAATCGATAAAACCGACCAACTACATAAGTCGGATTTAAACTAAAGAGCACTGAGAGCAAAAATGGCCTACACACTACTTCCCCTCAAAATAATATTCCCTTAATTGTCTCTTCAGTGCAAGAAAATCCCCTCGGAAAAATAAGGCCAAATGTATATAATGAAATAAATAATTGTTATGAAACTGATGTTATCTGTTGTGACAGAGAATTTTTATTAAGTGAAGAAGATGAATCAATTAATGATTCCCACGAGATTAAACAAATTGATTTTCCAGAAATTAGTGTTAAAATTAATAAATTGAAGATAAATGCCCTAATTGACACCGGCTCTAATGTATCATGTATATCGGAAAAATGGTTCCTAGAAAATAAACACCACATAGGTCATTTTGAAGAATTGCCAATTACAAATACACATATTAAAACGGCTACGGGAGATCGATCTAAGCGCATAACTAAAATCATAATGTTACCTGTAATGATAGAAAATGAAGAAACTCAACTACAAGTTTTACTCATACCAAACTTAGTTAGGAATTTAATAATTGGGAATGATGTATTAAATATATGGCAGTTTGAAATGAATTTTAAAGAAAAAGTTATTAAATTGAAGATTAAAGATAATAATATTACTTTGAAGTTCGGAGAGGTATCTGGTGAAGGTATAAACTGCAATTTTGTATTTGAGCAAAGCCCAAGGCGAAGCATTGAGAACGAAAATAATGATGATAAATATTATGAAGATAATTATGATAGTACAGTATTAATAATGATATGAAAACAAACAACAATCTACATTATATTAATTACACTCCTAACTTAAATATGAGAAAAAATACAGGAAGTCTACGAAGGCGCATTCAAGATCAGTACAATTTTAGGGCATTCAACTTATGTAAGCACTCTAGATGATAAGAAGACATTTGGACCATACGACATTTCAGCACTAAAAAGATATATTCTTCCTCAGCCGAAGATACAAGTTTAATAATCAAAAGTATGTGAATGAAAAATAATAGTAGGCCTATATTTAAAGAAAATTTTAAATTGAAGAAAATTAAATGAAAAGTATGTGTAGAGAGACCATAAACCCATGTAAATAGTTAAATGTAAATAATATAGACACTCCACAAAGTGAATTACATACCAGAAGAAATATATAAATTAAAAAAACATAAAATAGACGCTCTGCAGTGTAATATTAACTTAATTAAGAAAAGTGTGATGTGAGAAAAGATGTTAAGGAATAATAACTCATATGAACTATAATAATAGTGATGAGAAATTCATATTCCCCATTGTCCCCAATACATAAACAATAGTACTTCCTTTCTCATATCTTTAATGTTATTAATTGTTATAATTTTGTTGTTATATTGTTCATTATTCAATAATTGTGTTGATTAAGTATTTGTATTTAAATAACCATGTTCCACCTATCGTTCTTCATTAATAGTTAAGTCTTATTTTATTAA